AACTTCTTTTCAACGATTTACCCGGTATACCTGACTATACTCAAGTATCAGAATTGTATCATTCCACATTTTCAGTAATTTATGTATATGAAATATTATATATGAGTAATGCTCTTCTGAACACATAAGTGAGAAAAATCACTTCAAACGTATCACAAGAAGAAACTTCTGACACAAAAGTCACAGAATACGCTGGCTCGCAGCTTCCAGACTTATGTTAGAAACCTAATTCTAAACAGGAAAGAAACAATATAGGAGTTCTTCCATACTTGGATTTAATCGGAGATGGCTTGTAGGTTGATATAAACGTAAACAACTGCCGTCAGAGTACTCTCCGACTATGCAAACGATGTTTTCACTTCGTGCTCCCCTTGTAGGACAAAAATTTTTCATAACGAGAGAAGCTCTCCGAATTTCGAAAAGTCTACGGCCTTGAAAGTTTCTGACGCCTGGTAGCTAGCGTCATAATCACTTTTCGTGGTCGAATGATGTCGTGAGTTAATTGCCAGTGGTGCTATTCACTGTCTGTGCTTGCGGCGGAGCCATGCAGAAATTGTAGAATCATTGTTATCATTCATTCGTTTGAAGGAAGTATTAGACAACTGACTACTACTTACCCACCAGTCGATGTATCTGACATTGTTTTTAAGATTTCAGGGGTGATATGTTGTGACAGTAGTAGGCATTTAGTTGAGCCGTCAGATAGTAATACAACAAAGGATTATGAAACATAATCCTTTTGGGGATTACCGAAACGCCGCGTTATGCAAGTCCCTAGAAATTCTAACTTCCACAGATGATATGTCCCATCAATCCTGGTACTATTCCCACTGAACTTTTCAATGTCATCAGAAACTCTGTGAGAATTCCACTCATCGTAAAGCTGTGAGTTTTCAGCACATTAAATGAATAAATTGTGAAGTGGAAACTGACAGCTTATTTTAACAAGTTGATTGCGACATTACTTAATGCAGACAGTGGCGAGCTGTGAATGCCAGATTCTTAAAATGCTATACATGTACATCTTGAGATAGGAAATTGACACAAAGCTTCTCTTGATCATGATGACGACTGAATCGAGATTATTTGAATTTTGGTCACTTCGTTCTCCGAGTTGGATAGTTTAGTTTTTTGGAAAGACGATGGAAAATTCCCAGCCCGGGCATCCAGGTGCTGGATTAAGACGAAGCCAGCATCCTTGACCTAAGCTACGAATTTTCTCTCTTGTTCAGCGGAACTTTCGCACCAAGGAAGCCTGGTTGACCATGTCAGGAAGATGCACACACAAACCTTAAGCGTTACGCCGTAGTGGTGTTATACAGATGACGTCTGCCAGCGGAATATTATGCCCACATATTCCCCCAGTTCAATACCGCATACAATATATCTGTTTGAACATTCAATTTGACATTAGAGACACAATATATTTCCCACGATTATATACTGCATTAAGAAAGGAATACTATGTATATTTGAACATTCTATTTCATGTTGTTTGATGTAAACCAAAATCACAAGCTCGGTGATTGGTTAACGAATATAAACTATAGATATATAAACAGTGGTGTGATTGATGAAAATATACTTTGGCTCCCATGTCTTGCCTTTTGTTGTTACAATATGACAATAAAAACATTTAGAGATTCTTCGAAAATTTTAGTTAAGAGTCAGTCAAATATTTAGGATGACATTTCAGGATGAGATTGGAGGCTTCATCTTTGAAAAGAGTTGCTGAATCTACTACCATTTTTCAAAACCGTCAAAAGTAACTTCTACATCAACATTCCCATAGTTCACCACTAACATGTCTTACTGAATATACAAGCATAACACTCCATTCAGAATGGCTAATCACGAACTGAAGTCGGGAACTTAGATACCCTTATCATCCTATGTTATATCATCTGCAACCAACTACCTTTTGAACGCAAATATTTCGAATATCGTGAAGAGTTTATTGAGGCATGAACAAATAACTGCAGAATAACTGTTTAAATATAATATCTCTCCAATATTGTCATGATAAATATTGACAAATTAATATTAATACATTAATCAATTAATATTAATTAATCAATTTTAATCAATTGCAATATCTGGTTATATTATAAATTATATTTGTAAAATCTCAGCGAAATTGAAATGATTAATTCCAACGTTTCATCTCAATTATTTTGTAACTATCCGGTCAAATCTTGATCACAGCTCATATGAGAATAACAAATGTTTTATGACTATTCACCCACACACATACACATACACACACCATTGATACTGCATAACACATACACATATATTTTAACAAAAGTAGACTAATTTTGAAAGTCTGAGGTCAAATTTTGATCACAGTTAATATTGAAATTTTGTTTTGTTTTGTTTACTATACCTATTGATAGCTGCTTATTGATTCACATGACTGGACAAACAATTTAAAAGAGATGTACTTTTATATATACATACTATTTACTTATTTGTTTATTATACATGTTGATGACTGTTGCATGACTCATGATTGGACAAAAATTTAAGAACATGAGTTGCTCCTTTTATATATAAACTCTGTTTATTTTAATTCGGTTAATTTCCCTGAAGAAGTTCGGACCAGATTGCCGAACGAAACGTTGGAATTAATCATTTCAATTTCGCTGAGATTTTACAAATATAATTTTATAAATGTCTACTTCTCACACAGCGCTCAATTATTTTGCAACTATCCGGTCAAATCTTGATCACAGTTCATATGAATCTGGTTATATCACCTTTTGCCTTCCTCGCACAAAATTAAGTCTTTGCCCTCTAAGTCAGCCTTGTTTCTTCTCATTATAGAAATAGTGGTCGAGAGATCAGTCATACTGTGTAGGTGTATTGAGGTGATGGAAATGGCGAATCCACAAATATCGGTCCCGTCACCACACTCACAGTGCAATGGTTTCAACCTACTCCTAATTAAACTGGGTCTTTTTTCAGCTTGCTGACCGGATGATGCATTGGAAATCCCACACACCTCTGTGTGAGGCGCTCCTGCTTCGAGGATCTGCTGTTAGCAGACAAAAATGGCTGAACACTAGGCACGATAGACTTTCGCGTGTCTGCGTGTAAAAACACTCAGTAGAGATCTCACACAGTGTCTGTGAGTCCAGAACAGCGGAGCAGACTGCAGAGTATGTCGGACAAGGAAGTTTTTTAGGAGACAGAACTCGAAAAAACTAGTTTCCAATATTAAGTAGCCAAATATGTTTTTTCTGGGAGCTGTATGCTTCCCAAACCGCTTCGTCTGAGGTCAGTCATGAGGAAGGATACAAAAATGCAAATTTAACACAAACTTAATGCTTGTAAAGGACTACAGGATTATATTAAGACCAACAGATGAATCACTTTCTATGAATTGCACAATATGGGGCTGCTGATTACTGGACCCGATTGCCTTTCAAGGAACTGGTTGTGCAGTTAATAAGCCACATTTTTCACCCCTTACTATAAGCATTGTAGCTAGTTATCCAATAAATCAGTACTCTTGCAATAAATAGTGTTATCTGAGATGGTTGGTTTAGTTAAAGGAGGGGGTTTCGTCGTCCTTCTGGACAACATCTTCAGCGCAATTTTTAGCATGAAGTGAAATGATTTAAATTTTTCATGAGTGATAGAATTGCGTCTCCCGGTAACCATCTTTACATATGTATTGACCATTTTCTATTGACTTGGATTTGAAACTTTCTGGTCACATGATTTATTTTTATTAGTTGGTAGATTTGGTCTATATTAACATGTTTGTTAATTGCATATTCGTTTGAGTATCAGGCTTCTAGGACTTCCCTGGCACTTTTGGTGTTTCTTCTGTCTAAGACTGCGACATTAACCCAATCAAACTGATGTCCATAATTATCTATATGCATTGATATGAAAGAATAAATATCATGTCTTTTCACGGCTGATATGCGTTCCTGGATTCATTCGAAGGGGACGTCCACTTTGGCCGATGTAATGCCTGTTACAGCTTATACAATTTATTTTGCAAATGGAATTAATTTTAATTCTTTTTTCTGTTGGATCTTTCGGTTTGCACAATATCGAATTAAGTGATTTGACTGGCTTGTGTGCTATATCCATATCAAACGGTTTCAGTATACTAGCTGTTATTTCAGAGATATTGTTTATGTATGGCAGGATGAATTTTCTTGTGTTCTTTGATGACGGTTCCTTGTTGGTGTTGTGATTCGATTTTAAACACTTTGTGATGAAATTTTGTGGATAACCATTCTTTTTGAAGACCATTTGTAGGTATTTTTCTTCTATTCTTTTCAACTCTGGAGTGCTACAGTGTGTACTCTGCCTAACCCCAAAGTACCGGCAACAAAACACATTTAGAAGACTTGCTTGGAAATGTGCTCTGGCGAGGACTGCTACTATCTATTACTGTCCCCTTGGGTTCGTCCTATTGTTTGATGTCCTCCTTATCTGGGTCAACTACTGCTCATAGTCTCTCATCTCCTTGAACGATCTTGGCGAGCCCTATATTTGCGTAAAATAATGATCAGATTTATCCATAGAAAAGATTCAGAAGTTATCCGACAAATATGGCTGTATTACAAAGTCAAACAATATGCGTCTTGACAGTACAATGGAAAAGCGCGAAGTAGAATTGGAGGCAGCCTTAATGTTTACACATAGAAACAAAATCTTAAAGCACTGGATATTACACTACAGCCTCAAGAAAAAAGATGGGTGGCTTTACCAAATACACGTGAAGCTTAATTAAGAGTCATTTGTGTGCATAACTAGTTTAGGCCTCGTGCAAGAATGACATTTAAACGGGACTAAACACAAAGCCTAAGCCGCTTATTTTTTATTTTAATATTTTTATGGCTTGATTCCATACACTATTTTGGTACAAGTAAGGAATTTTCGACATGTGATATCGGTAGCCCAAATTTGTCAGGGCGACCATTCATATCAGGTGTGCGTCAGCCGGGAATCGAATCCCGGACCATTTGATTGGTCGGCGAGCGTCCTAAGCACTGTGCCACCGACGCACAAGCGGACTTGTCTGCCTTTTATATGGAGAACAAATGAAGACTTATGATATTTAGAAAATCGATGCTCCGTAATGGTATTTGTAATTTCCGGTGAAGATCTGGATTTCAGAATTTGCTATCAAAGTGACTACCAGAATAAGATCCCAAATACTCAGTAGAGTCATTTAGCATTAGGTATAGATTCACAGAACATGATGTCATTTCATGTAGTAGTGGCTTATTTGATATAAAACTGAGCCCTGCTGAGGGGTTTAAACTTACAATGTAGTCTGTTTTACCGTTATTATAGATCGTGGTTTGTTGTACACGGCGGGACAAACTGTTGTTGCGTTACCAATGTCTTTTAAGGAGAGAGATCTGTTGTATCGACTCATTATAAGGTAAGTGCTTTTATAACTTCTTTTTGTCCTAGTCAACTGTTTTATGATGGCTTCCAAACTATGGCTGTTAATCTTGTTAACTTGGTGAGTCCTTCAACTACATGTGGCCCGTCAAACCGTCTGTTTCGTCTTGTAAAAATTGGTCTTTCTGCTTCTGAAGGTAGCCCATATTTCTGTTATGCACTTGAAAGTTATTTTGTTTCATTTTATGATATGGTTTAACATTTAGGCCTTAACTTAATGTAGTGCAAATATTTTCAACTATACAAGAATACAACTTAGGCATTGTGGTATAGTATAATCCCATCACAGGATAAATTCACGTAATAAAATCACACAGTGACACCGTATTTTTTACTGGTGACGTTTGGGACGAAATTTAATGCTCACAATCGTATCAAGTCACTCAAATAACTTCTCAATCTTGTCTATATAATTCTCATTCCTACATATTGGTAGTAACACAAAAACAACAGCAAGAAAAATAATAATAAAAAGAATAAAAATGAGTTTAAGAGAAGAAAAATGCACAGTAATCTCATGAATAGAATTGGAAATGTCTTAAATTATTATTCTAATGAGTAGTAAATGTGTTATCGCCACTATACGGTTTTCGCCTACGTCAAAACTGTCCACTGATCGGCCCTAGCCAAGCATTATACATTTCTATCTCCATATAATAACTTAAAATATTTCAAAACTCCCAATGATAGTAAGAACGCTATGCAAATATTTTTATAACGTAACTGGCAACTTGTGGATTTTGTATGTAAAAGGTAGAAAGAAAGAAAAATGTGTGGTGCTTTATGACAAATCGTAGAATTATGTGCAAAATATTGAGTTAAGAGTAATGAAAGTGCAAAGATAATAGTTATGTCTGCCTGGATTGATGCGTTTGATGAATCACTGCAGTCGTATGTGACCTAAATTTTAAGTGCTATTAGATCAAACAAATTCCTTCGGCACACAAAAATTTGGATAGAAAAACATATTAGCTACCGGTTTTACTATACTTCGCAAGGGAAAGTGTACAAAAGCAGAAAATTTTGATGGAAGCCTCCATAACATGGCAAAGGCTGACGTTTGTAAATCCTGGTCTGTATGTCCACACTTTGGGCTAGTATTGAGCTGTTTGATAATTTTTACTCCTCTTCCACCTAAGCTTGTAAATATTTCTGGAAGAAGTGACATTATATATATATATATATATATATATATATATATATATACGTATACTGCATCATAAGTGACTGCAATTTGTGATCGCGGTTTTTTACACATGATAAAAACAGGAGATCCAACCTAATCAGCACACTCATAAATCATGTATAATATGCACTCAGTTATACTCCAGTGTTGAAATTTAGAAAATGCTACTTGGAAATCTTCAAGGCGGATACACTAGTATGTAAATTGGAATAAACGGAATGCAGTGAAGCTTTCTGCATGCTTTCATAATAGTCTGCAGTCGTGATTACATATTCATAGAATTTGCATATATTCTTTATTGTGAAGTTAGCACTAAGATATATTTTAATTTATGTGTTATTGATTCAGATGAACAAGAAAAGTCGGGTGTTCTGGAGGGCGAAAGTGTCGCTCCAGGTATTGGCATCGATCTGGAAGTCGAAAGTGAAAGTAAGGCATTCTTTTTAAAATGTGATAACTTCTTAAACTTTTGTTTCGTGTATTTACAAATAAATATCTCACGTATGCTCTTGATTGATTGTTAACACTGTGTACTTTATGTAAGAAAGGCGCATCTCAGAATGACTGAAATCACACTTAATATAGTGTTGGTTATTTCAAATAGAGCTTGTGCTAACCATGTTTCTAATATATTCTAGTAAGTTATAATGATTACTGTTGTGTCTCAGCTACCCAAGACACATTTTTCATGTACTAGACTGTGAGCCGCACTTATTTTGTGAGGAATAATTATGCCACAAAGTTTCTTAGGCTAAAGTGGGAGAGTCGAGACTTTCTAGCTAAAAGTCAAGTGCTTAAGCCGATGAGCTACATCTTCACAGTCATGGTGGTACTTATATACACAGAATATATAGATTTCATTATTTACACCACTATTAGTACTTAATTCGAAAAGCCTCCACTCTTCGACTTTAGTAAATGTTTACTGTTTTGTCACAGTGACCAGCAAATGCAAAATATGAAACATGAAAAATTATGCTTTATCGGTTTTCATCCTATTCATCAGAGTTGTTCCTCTAGTTTCATTTCATTGCCAAGATTTTAAATATTCCTTCCAATCTTTGCTTTATTTCCCTGTTTCTACCTCCCAAAACTTGTGTCTGTCATATTCCAAGCTAAGAGCCGCACTTATTGTATGAGGGCTGATGATACTACCCAGTTCCCTAGGTCAAAGTAAATGAAGTGCGTTTCGAACCTGAAGATCTAGTGCCTAAGCCAATGGGTCACACTTCCATTCTTTTCAAAAGTGATAGTAGCTTTGTGTTGTTATGCTACTTGCTTTTTTTAATGCATCAGCATATTTGAGTATTTGTAATTAGTTATGAATTGCAGCCTTGTCTGACTGACTGACTGCTTTCAACGTGGAACTTTGCACAGATGTGCAGCAGTTCGAGTTGTCACTCTCCTTCTATGTAGCACCCAGAGGAAGAGGAGAAAGTAAATAGAGATAATAAACAGAAATATGAGGCAAAAAGAATAGTAATATGGAAGAACAATAGAGTTTATTGGATATTATAAGTCACAAAAAGTGAATGCAACTGCGCCTTTGAGAACGATTTTGATCCATATGACCGATTGTCTCCAGCCGCTGGTTTTTACCATACCGAGGACCCCAACCAGGAAGCCAGTCTACACATCCCTACGTGGTTGGCTTAATCTAACTGTTATGGATTTCATTGAGTGATGTCATGTTTTGGTTTGACCACCACGTGCTAGCTCTTTTCCAACCTAATCCTATTTCAGCTAACATTGCCCATAGTCGAGAAAGGCGATGGCTAGGCATGCGTACACATGTCCTAACTATCTCAATCGGTGTAACTTTACAACCTCGTCGATTGATTTTCTCTCTTTACCTAGCACTCGACCGATGCCTAACCTCAACATTACTCGCCTTATTAACCTAACTTAACACTGCAGGTAGAACTCAGACACCTATGATCAAAGACAGCTAGCCTTTTCGTATCTTCCACTTTCAATGGCAATGTCTCACAGTCATAAAAGAAGACAGAGTGAATTACTGACGAGTACACACGCCCTTTGGTTGACAGACAGCAGGATATCACGTTTACTAAGCCAGAGATGGCGTAAGCTGGCATATGCCAAACGAGCCTTCTGTATCCGTGGTGAGATTTCGTCAGCGATCAAGCCGCTGGCGTTGGTTGATGCAACTCCCCAAATAAGTGAAGCGGTCAGCAAGTCCTACCACTTCACTCCCTAATTTAAGCTAGGAGTCAATGTAGTCCAGTCCTGTAGCATCATCTTACATTTCACGGGAACAAATAGCACTCCAAACATTCGTAGATTGTTGCTCAAGGTGTTCAAAAGACTGCATTTTGTCAGCATCTTCACCTAGGAGGCCTATATCATCTGCATATTCTAAGTCAGCGACATTATTCCTTGGTAACAAGTCAATCCCTGAGTCATTGAAGTCAGTTAGGGTTAAGTCCATTAGTACATCTATGATGAAATTAAACAGAAATCAGTGAGCATCCCTGATGGACACTACTGGTTGTCACAACTTCAGATGACTACTCTCCGTAGCCTCTCACCTTGTTGCATGAGTTCAAGTAGCGTGCCTTGATCAGTGCAATGTACTTCCTCAGCATTCCCTTCATGGCCAAACATCGCCATAGTATCTCGCTGTCGAAGGGTGGAAGATTTGGTCGATACATCATCTTCCTGGTCTAAAGCCTACCTGGTTCTCTCGTATTTGTTTCTCCCGAGCACCACTCAATCTACGCATGATTATTAAACCTAGATTAGTTAAGCTAATCCCCTTGTGATTATCACAGAAAGATCAACCAATGACTTACATCAGTCCAACGGGACTATGTCTGATTCTCAGATATTGTCCTATACCCTAGTATAACCTAAACAGTAAATTGTTTCCGCCGTCCATTAAAACCCCTGGAAGTCATTCTATCGGGTCCCGCTGCTTTGTCTCGTTTCAGATTAGAGACAGCTTTTGTAACTTCAGCTAGGAATGGAGTGCTAGTGTTTATATCCCATTCAGGGAGCTGTTGGATGCTTGGTAAGTTGAGCGTGGTTGTAGGCCAATTAAACTGCTGCTCAAAGTGTTCCTTACAACGTTGCAGTCTTCTATCCTGAGAGCTAATTAAGGCGTCATGTTTCTTGGACATTCACTTGTCATTTGCCTTTTGCCACCTGTTTCCGTGATAAGCCTAAAATAGTTGCCCGGTGTTACCTATCTTTGATGCTTTTTCCGTCTCTTTCGCTTTTGCTGCCCACCACTGTTCATGGTCGTTGAGTAGACTTCTTGTTGGTTTACGTCTGAGCAGCTTTTCGCTCCTCATCATATTCGGAGCTCGCCGGAATCAGTCTTCTTGCGTCTACCAGTTCGGATAAGGTAGTAGAAATCCACTGGCTTTTACTAACTTTTGGTTTTAGGTTATTAACAGCCTTTGCAACTGTGTCTACGACTAACTGTATGTTGTGCCCGGCTTCCTCAGAAGGAGTCTTGCTGTCGATATCAGATACGCATTTAGCTATTTCTTCCTTAAATAGGGACTCAGTGGCCTGATGGAGTTGGAGGCGTAACTGCTTCTCTGCCAACAGTTTTTTCTATCCATTTAGTCATAAGCATAAAAGTGTGCGATCCAGGGCGTGATTGGAGTCTATGCACGTGTTTCAGAAGGAGCGGTATTCTCCTACTGACCCTCGCCGACGGTAGCCTATCGCTATGTGGTGTATTTTAGTTCAACGTTGACTTGGTGATGGAGGTCGCCAGGTTAGGCAGTGTGTCTCTTTGTGCCTAAAGTTAGTGCTCACTAGGAACATATGATTATCTGACCAGAACTGTAGGAGACGATTACCGTTGTTGGTTCTTCGGCAGGCAACTCCGTAGGTACCACCAATATATTTCTCATTCTAGCATAGCCTCCCTATTTGGTCATTGAAGTCGTCTACCAAAAAGACAGTTTCTGAGCGCTTTGCTTTTTGCAGCAAACTAGACAGTTTCTGTTAAAAATCATCGTTTAGTTCATCCGAACTGCAGTCAGTTGGGGCGTATGCAGAGACTATGAAAAGACAACGATGGTAACGCCGTCCTTCCTCCTTCTAACGGACCCGTTCAGACAGACCACATACATACGACTATATACAGGGATCTAGTCAAGAAGTGTCTTTTCCGCCCTAACACTCAATGCTATCCCTACACCTGCAAGTCTTTGTGAACTAGCTTAAGAATCTCCTAACACCCGTAATGTGAATTTTGCATATTCACCTTGTTGGCCAGATGCGGTTAAGTGAATAACTAGGGTGTTGTATGAGTGTCTCCGAAACACAGCATACATCTATGGCTCGAAATGCCAGAGTTCTGGCTAGTGATGCCTGTTGTCCGATTTGGCAGAGGAACCTGACGTTAAATGCTCCTATATAAAGTTTGCAACGTGGCTTTAATAGGCTACTGGTGGTATTTTACTGACTCTCGTCGCTATTTGTGTTCACAGAATAAAATGAAGATGACTGACTAGCCTGCAGAATAGTACTGTCAGTAGTATGGAAGCAAAATAATGAGAGTGACTGAGATAAAGAAGGAGGATGATCAGGAGGGCTTCGTGTGCTTTTGGAAGCGTGTGGGCGGTTGTTACTTCCCGGCTGCCCACACCGTGAAAGTTGATTTTTTCCTGGGGTACCTGAAACAGAAAGAGAGTTAGTGTTACATGATGGCAGAGCCCAGAGGAGGTCGATCACACACACGGCCTGTATGAACTGGTTTCTTGGTTTGGTTCCGTATTAGTAAACTTACCGCGGGTTATGGACCACCGTGGGTTAAGTCGGGATTACAATTTTTGGGGTCAACCTTTTCTAACCCCCTCTCTCCTAAGTAGAGAGACAGCATAGGTTGGCTAGCTTGTCACCTGAGGGAAACACCTTATTGCTGTTACATCCCTATTCCCCAGCAGTACAACTTTGCCCACAGACCTCCAGAATAGTGTTAAAAAATCTTACACTATGCCGGTAACAACTTTCAGTCTAATCGTTATCCTAACAGTCTTCCTGGCATAGTAATGTAACAACAGAAGGCAAGACACGGAAGCCAAGGTATATTTTCAATCGATCAAATAGTTATTTATGTATATACAGTTTATATTCTTTAACTAATCACTGAGCGTGTGATTTTGGGTTACATTAAACGACCTAAAATAGATTCTTCAAATACATACATAGTGTTCTGTTGCTAATACAGTATTGAACTGTGGGAATATGTGAGAATAATATTCCGTTGGAATACATTGTCTGTATCATACCACCATGGTAGCACCTGCAGGAACATTAACTTCAGTCAGTGTAGCTTGTTGGGTCATTGTGATATGCAAGCTCGACTACCACCACGTCAAGGTGTAGCAGCTATCGGTCGGGTAAGCCACAGTTCAATGGAAAAGTATTCTTCTTTCTTCACATCCAACTCTTAGCGAGTTAATACATAAAGTTAGTTCAACAACAAAAATTAGACTGCAACTTCTACTTTAAAAATCATCTTGTCAATTAAAAGTAGGTCGCCACTAAATTTCCCATAACACTGCGCTACACACTGAAGAGACCCACTAGGAATGACCTCCCAATTTTTAAAAAAAACTACTCTGTAGAGTAGTCAATGGTCCACATTACTAATGTTTGCCACGTAGTCCTAAATATTTTACGTGAGTTTTTCCGTTTTCCAATCAATCCAACTGTATGTTGTGCCTGGTTTCCTCAGAAGGAGTCTTGCTGTCGATATCAGATACGCATTTAGCTATTTCTTCCTTAAATAGGGACTCAGTGGCCTGATGAAGTTGAAGGTGTAACTGCTTCTCTGCCAACAGTTTTTTTATATCCATTTAATCATAAGCATAAAGGTGTGCGATCCAGGACGTTTTCTTCCCATATGCATAGCCGAAGCTTTAGCTATACATGAACAGAAACCTAAATTATGTGTTCAAAAAAGTTTTGTCAAACCCCTTTCTTTACCTTGGCCACAGTAATGTTCTTTCTAGTTTTTACTTTATTTTATTTTACCACTTGAATTCTTTCCACTTCACTTCACATGTTCATTCTTGTCGTAATCGTACTCCTAATTTTTTTTAAATTTTTAGACAACACGACTTTTTTTAAAACATTTTTGATTCCAATTCACCTATAAAACAATCTTTAATAATTTTGTAATTTATCCACTTCAACTCCACCCCTTATAAAATTTTAGTTATCGTTATTCTTATCACTTATATATGTATATTGACTGAGCAATTATTTAGTGCCACTTAATAACCTTATTTCTGTAATATAAATACGATTGTACAGCTTGAAAATGAAGTCGTTGAAAAGAAATTTCTTCGCTGAACAAAAAACTGCGTTTTTACTTAATTCAAACTCTGACAACTGATTTTTCCCCCATGTAATGTGATGTGGATTGATTTGTGGTAGTTGTTAACAGCATGTGCATCCATGCACTCTATAGTAGACAACTATTATTTTTACAGTGATGACATACTCTACTGATTAATTGATATGAGTAGTAAGATACTATTCGCAAAAATCATGTCACCCTATCAGATGTGTATACCATCATACGATTATGCTTGCCTTCTTAATTGCCGTTTATAGTATCAATGAGATCAACATATATATTATATATATATATATAACTGTATATTTGTTAACACGTAAATGCATTGCTAATTTTTATAGTTGTTTTATTTATGTCACTTTATAAAATGGTACATTTTTCAAATTACTGGCATGTTAATAGAGTCTAGTAAAAGTCCTAATGGAAATACCATTACTAACGTCTACATAAATCGCTCAAGATACGCAACTACCACCACCACCACCTACAAGCATCAGTCATCAATGAAGGAAGCTTAAAGGAAGTCACCTGTTCAAATTTTCCTGCCGTCATGGTTTCAAATGCTTGCAGCACGGATGGGGATGTTAAGGACAGGATTGAAATGGCAAGACAGGTGTTCACTACGCTAAAATCAGTGTGGGAATCTACTGCACTCAGAATAAGGAAAATGTAATGAATTTTTAACACTCATTCATATCAAGTCAGTACTTCTGTATGGTTCAGGTACTTATCGTAAGCATCATGAGAAGCATTTCAACAGGCTACTGCCCTCTTCACTCTAGACTGAAGATCATATGGCTGGCCGGAAAGGAGTAGCAACAAGTGACTGTATCAAGGAACTAACTGAAAATCCTGTCACCCCAAAAATATGCCAAAGGAATTGGAGATGGATTAGACACACACACACACACTGAGGAGACTGTTGCATAACATTGATCGTCAGGTCCTTGAGTAAAACCCAAATTAGAAACGACGAGTTGGACATAGGTCTAAGGGTGACAATAAGCAGATAAATACCCACTGTTAATCGTAATCGTGTGCGTTAGTGGCACAACGGTAGGATGCTCGCCAACCACGCAGGTGGCTTGGGGATCGACCCCCGGCTGACGCACTGCTTTACCTCGCTAAGTCAGTAATGAGACTGGTAAAGAGGTAAGGTTGGGCATGAGGCTAGCAACCCCATCCCGTAAAAATAAATAACACTGCTACCAAAAAGCTTCAAGCCTCTAGCTTGAAGCCCTATGTTCCACTGGGAACGTAATGGAATAAAAAAAATCGTAAAGCCAGCCAAAATGGACTACAGATAATAAACAGCTCATCTGTAGGTGTTACTTGAACTGACATGTCTAGTTTACGAACGACATGCAGCTTTACTGAGTACTTGCTCTTAATTATCTAAACGATTCAAGGATAATGGACAGTTCGTGTTTCTAAACGAATTATTTACTTAAATATATACTGCGTTCTTATTTCTCTGAATGGTCATACACTTCCAGTGTTGCTACTTGGAAGTTCTAAGGGTTAAGTCAAGAGGTAAAAGGGGATATCTGTTAAACATGTATAATATTATACTTCACTATAGAACAAAGTGACAGAGTGAAACAAAGGGAGAGGGTGTTAAAACAGATGCAAATACAAGTGGAAAAGAAGAACAGACGCAAAGTAGTCAGATGTTTGAGATCATATATATACTACCAATTGAATTAGACAAGGCTATTCAGTCAAGATATGTTTTAGAAACTTGTGGACATTTGTACTTGAGAAGCCATGGTTTTCCTGAATAAGATTCCATTTATTCATAAGACTGGACGAGTCATATTACTTGTTAATTAAGACGTTTCATTTGTTTTTTTTAATTTTAATTAAAATTTCTTTTTGCTCTCATAGGTTCGACAATGGCCCCTGAAGCAGCACTTTATGAGACCTGTTATGTAACAGCTCACAAAGCAGCATGTCGAGCGGCATCCTTTAATAGTACAGGTAATAAACACTACTACTTTTAATGTTTTCCGCTGTATTTATAATTTCGAATAAATGTGTAAGCTACTCAGTTTGTATAAGAGTAGTATAATTGTTTGCCTGTAAATTCTCACCTCAAACTTCAAAATTCAAAGCAAGTCATTTCAACGTCTGATGCAAAATTATAAAATGTATCCGATGAAGCTGTTTCTTACTGTTCAGTTAATACTGTCATGCTGACTAAATGGACTTGGATGTAAGGTGCAGTAGTTCACTTACCATTGTTAGATAATACATACAGACTAACAGTACTAAATAAAATAGTGTCTTGGAAAAAAGATTTTAAGTTATTAGAGGTTGGATCAATTCCAGTTTAGATTTCGTCACATCCTTGCATCAGTTAGAGAATCATCGTAAACAAGCTGACTGACTGGCTGAGTTTCAACATAGAACTTTGCACAACACAGTGTAGCAGTTAAAGTTACCACCCTCAATATAGCACAAAAGTGTAGACGATCAAGATAAAAATAGGAGATTCAAAAGAACTGTATGATGCAGAAATATTCAGGAGAAAGAATAGTAGCGTGGAAAAATGTGGTGGTTTAGTGGATATGGGAGATCATAAAGAGTGAATGCATGCTTGCCATTAAGATCGATTTTAAACGTTATCATCAACAGTCTCAAGCCATTGGTTCATAGAACTCCGAGAACCTGAATCAGACTGTTTACACCTTCATGGACTGATGACATGTTTTGCTTTGACTACCCATAACTTTTCGAACCCAATCTCGTGTCAGCTAACACTGACCGTCGAGAAAGGTGATGGTTTATCATGTGCAGACATGCCGTAACCATCCTAATAGATTTAGACTCACAACCTGACTTGCCCTCCTTACCTAGTACTTAATGCCTACCTCAATATTACTTAACATATTATACCACTTAACCCGGAATATAGAAGGCAAACATCAGTGGTCGAAGACAGCTAACCTCCTCATATCTAACACTTACAATGGCCATGTTTCACAACCGTAGAGGATAGAGCGAACTGGTTTATAGTACGCACGTCTTTCGGTGGATAGCTGGATATCACATCTACGCCAGAGATGGTGTAAGTTGGCAAACGACATACGAGTTGTTGGTATCCATGCTGAGATTTCGTCAGTGTATTGGGGTTGGTGCAAATTCCCAAATAAGTGAAGTGATCAGCACGCTCTATTACTTCACTCCCTATTCTTAAGTTAGGAGTCGGTTTAGTCCAATTCTTCAGGATCATCTTACATTTGAAAGGAGCAAATCGTATGTCCAACATACCAAGATTTCTGCTGAAGGTGTTTAGAAGACTCTGCATTTTATCAGCTTCTTCACTTAAGAAGACTATATCATCCGCGTACCCTAAGTCAATAAGACTGTTTCCTGGCAACAGTTCTCTAAAGTCAGCTTGGATCGATCCCACTAGTAAAGCAAGCAGCACTGGACCGATGTCCCCTCTTAGCTTGGGACTCTTCAGCACTGAGCAGTCATGAAACCTGCAGAGGTCGAATCCAGGACATTTGGGATATGAGTCAAACACGTTAGCACTCAGTCAGTGGTCTTGATTTACAATGACCCATGAATTCTGACTAGTGATAGGTCCACTGGTCTACACTGTTAAACAGCCCCAAACTCAAACAAAAAAGCCGTGGTTTTCAATAATTTCCTAACTGATGTCGGTTCATGATGAAATCGACATCTTGAAAGAAGATGAGCTATTTAAGTACAAGTTGGTGAACTTTTCACAATTCGGGTTGTTACAATTTACTACAACTTGAAGTGAAAACTAGCAGGATCAGGAGTGTGTTAAAATAAGCAGTAAAATAAATTCATGTTTAACTGGATTGATTGTTTCATCCGTTCAAACAATTAAACTGCAGATAATCAAAAAGAGAATTTAAATTATAATTTGTTAGTTAATCAATTGTGCGTCGATAGTTCAGTGGTAAAAAGCTCTCCAACTATGCATGTGGCCTGGGTCCGATTTCCACCTGACGCACACCTAAACCTCACCTAGTTAACCAGCCAATAGATGGGAGTTTTGACGTAATGCTACCAATCCCACAGTTACTGAAACTTCAAAGTATCAAGCCTGGAGCTGAATGTTCCACTTGGAACTCAAAAAATTTAGTAGCATAGGATAAAGTGGATAAGCATACTGTGCCATTCGATTTCGAGCTATCGGCTTATTAATCTTGGAATTATTTTTTTTATTTCAAATAATTTAAGTGTTGGTTTGTAGCGATTTGTGATTGGTTACAGGATTTCATCATGAGCTGACACATTGGTTATAGAACCATTGGAAAACCACCTGGGAGTACTGGAAAGCTGTTTCGTCAGCCTAGTTTGGGACTCCTCATCAGTACACACCCACCACCGGAGTTCGAACCCAGGACCTTTCAGTTACAAGGCTAGCGAGCTCGTAGACCATTAAGCCACTGGGACTCAATCCAATGGCCAGTCAGCCCATGAATTCTAACTTCTGCCAATTCACGCACGACATAGCGCGACCAGTAGCCAATGTCTTCGGTGGCGAGTATTTGTCCTCACACCCCCGACCTGCTGCACCCAGGTTTTCCAATGGTTCTCTAACCAATGTCAGCTCATGATGAAATCCTGTAACCAATCAAATAATTTAGCTTTTCGTCTATTAAATTACACATTCATCCACTTTTCTTGTGTTCAACGAACAAGAATTGTGATGAATATTCTAATAATATGTGATGAAAATTTCTTTAGCATAACATTTCAATATATATTTTATTTATTCTCTTTTTGTTCTATTTCTCATTAATAATAACATGAGTTGAGCAATTATTTACTTTCAGTGAGTGTTTACGTGTGTAGACATTGAATTGAAAGTTCAACTTATAGATTTTCAGGCCAGTTAAACGTACTTCATGATCTCTTCTTTATTATTATTATTGTAAATTGCATAAAATTTCACTTGTCGGAAATGCAATTACGATTTCATGCAGAGCATTTGAGAATCAAATGAAACGACTTAAACATTGTACTGGCTATCAATGCTTTCTTCTTTTTTTGTTTTGAATTCTTCTCGCTAACTGAGGTGTATTTTCAGTCTACTTAAATGAAAGGTTAAGGCATATTTAAGAATCTGATAGAGGGAGGATTGAGTTGTTGAAAGTAATTACAATTACTCAAATAGGCAACATATTAATTAAGTAACACAACTTTCCTAATTCAGCTGATTGAATGTGTTGTGTTTTTTTTTATTGTGTACAGACTCAGTTATCTGGGACGGGCTTTTCATGCATCACAAAATAAAGCCAGATAAGTATTGCGTTGGATGATAGTGGTGTGTGTGTGGTGCGTGGGGGGGGGGCTAATAATGCTATCCCAGTCGCTTAGGCTGAAGTAGGTAAATCGAGACTCAAAACGCGGAGACCCACTCACTAGAAGTCTAGTGGTTGAGAGTCGATGAGGAGCCACTTTTGTCATCCAATACTATTCTTTTTCATTACGCCACTCAAGTTTATCTATCGTCTATCTTGTATAATTACTGTTCAAAAATATTTTAGCAGAAAATAATAAAAGATAAGGCGGTATATATATGTTGGCTTTTAGTTTAATTATATTAATCGATAAAGTATAGTCCACCGTTTTTTGTTTTTTAAGAAAAAGCAACTTGCAAATTCGACTACCTACCCACCTCTTCTTCATTTGTTATTCTTTTGCTTTAAAGAACGCTCACTTCTATTTATGTCTACAAACATAATTAGTCAACCGTATATATGTGAAACTATGTGAAAATACGTGTAACGCAAAGCTTTACTATTTTTTTTCACAAAGACTAGTGAATTTTTTCTTCTACCTGACTTTATAATACAAAAAATCATCCTTTTCTTTAACATTTATAATATCTCCTTTCTTTTTAAACATTCCTTCGTGTCCTGAATGGAACACAGGGCTTCAAGCTTGAGTCTTGAAGTTCCAACAGTGGTGGTGTTGCTTTCAATGGGTAGAGTTGTTAGCCTCAGGTCCATCCTTCCCTCTTTATTGGGCTTGATACGGGCCAGGAGAAGTTTAGGAGTACATCAGCCGGGAGTCGAACCCTGGACCACATAGATGGGTTGGCTAGCATTCTACCATTGAATCACCGACGCAATATTCTGGTCGTTTTCTGTAATCTAATTGTAGGTAGTATTTTTGTGTTTGCTAGTGACATTTGGAAAAAATCACTGTTTTTTTCGTTACATGGCATCCACCTGCAACTTGTATCTTGAAAGTTAGGAAAGTGATGTTCCCATTAAAGAAATTATTATTCAGATATGTACTTTCTCTTTGACTTTTCTCAGATGGACATTAAAATTATTGTTATTATTGCCATTATTCCCTCGGGTTCCGTTTGGAGCATAGATCTTCAACTGCACATCTCTATCTCATCCTGTTCTCTATAGTCCTCTTTAGGCGGCCCCACGATTACCCATAAGCTCTCATCTCCTCCTCACACTATCTCATCCATATCACCCTCGAACCCACGCTCAACTAGCCAAGTCTCTGTTCAGCATACAACTCGTCGTTTCCCATACAGGTTCCACTTATGGGCTTGGCCCACCATATCACTTAACGGTCTTTTCGGCGTGTGTCCGACACATCTGCATCACCTTCAACATATTTGTTGAACAATAAGTTCTTGGTTGGTTTGTTTGTTTCCAAAGTTCATTTTTGCTAATCCTTTCTGACCAGTTATCTGTTCTTCAGTATGGAGCCTACGAAGGCAGGTATTGATAAAAGTCTGCGGTAGTAGGTTTTTGACGACGCATACACCAAGTCTCGGAACCATATAGAGAGGCACTAACTAAATGAACATTAGTGTTGAAAATCTGAATCTTATTTTTAATGTTGAGCGCAGCAGATTCCCACATTGATTTCAGACTAATGAGGGTCTGTCTTACCTTTATGATGTTGACTAGTTGTGATATCTTCATCCCTGCGACCTGTGGTTGAAACGATACTCCCTAGATAAGCGAAAGTGGTGGTGGTGATGTCCTTCAAATTTCTCCTGTTGATAATGATTGGCGCTTGTTGTTATTGTTGATCGCCTGGTATCTTCATCACGTCTGTCGTCTCTAGATTCACTTAAGCCCTGTCTTATCTGCTTCTCCGATCCAACTTGCTCGTTTTCGTCTACGAGTTTGTGTGACACTGGTCATAAGTCATCCGCGAAGTCCAGATCTTCTAGAGTCTCCTTGTTGGCCCAACGTACTCCTGTCTTCTCACTCCTCATGGTTTACGTCATGATCCAGTCCACCACAGTTAGGAATATCATCAGTGATCGTAGGCACTCTTACCTTACTCTATGAATTGTTAATTAGTACAGTTCTTCAAATACAAGCACTAGTTGGATAAAGAATTCAATAGGACTAACAAACTATATAACTTGACATTAACTGCGTTCGAATCGCGTGGGTGCGTAGTGCTGAAGAGTCTCAAATTAGGATGAAACAGCTGTCCAGTACTCCCAGGTTTTCCAATGGTTGTCTAACTAATGTCAGCTCATGATGAAAATCCTGTAACCAATCAAATCCTTACAAACCAACACTTGAATATCAATGAGATGCTCACTAGCTACTTGCCCTATTCAGTTACCTGGGGTTCTAGTGAGAAGTCGTGACCAGTAGGGTGCAGCAGGTCGGGTGTGAGGACAAATACTCGCCACCGAAGACATTGGTTAGTGGTCGCGCTATGTCGTGAATTGGCAGAAGTTAGAATTCATGGGCCATTGGATTGGGTCCCAGTGGCTTAATGGTCTACGAGCTCGCTAGTCTTGTAACTAGAAGGTCCTGGGTTCGAACTCTGGTGGTGGGTGTGTGCTGATGAAGAGTCCTAAACTAGTGACGAAACAGCTTTCCAGTACTCCCAGGTTTTCCAATGGTTCTCTAACTAATGTCAGCTCATGATGAAATCCTGTAACCAATCAAATCCCTACAAACCAACACTTGAAATACAATTTTTGTCAACTTCCATTAAGATACAACCGGACGATAAACTGCTGTATATTGCTGACTGGTATAGAATAGTTGGAAATCTATCACATCATCCATCCAGTAGTAGTACTTGCTAACTGAATCGAAGTGATTTAAACACTGGAGAGAGAGCTGTTTCGGTCATTTGGTGATGAGTAGTTTGTCAGCAGTAGTTTTACTCGTTCTTTTCATGATTACTATTTATAACATAAAGAAAATGACATGTGTTTCCAATATTTTGAGTATCCAAGCACATTATAATGGTTTTCCATATTAAACTGTGTAGTTTGGAATTTGGACGAATTCAATTAACTAGATATTTTCATTGAAATTGATTGTCGAGTAAGAAGTAGGATATTCAGTGTGGGTTTTTGCTTCAAGCTTTGAAGTTCCGGTGGCGATTGTGTTGTTCTTACTACGGTTCTGGGTTGCTAGACACACTCCCACCCTTCCTTCTTTTCCGGAGTTTACTACTGGCTAGGTGAGATTTATCATTGTGTTGTTGTCTGGGAATCGAATCCGAACTTCCCTCCTGGCTGGGATAAGCTCTGTATATATCTTTGAATTTACGTTTGCAACCAAATGTTTCTCATACTTCGCTTAGTAAGCGTATTTGATAAGTATCTCTTCAGTGTAATAAGTAGAATGCATTAAGATGTTCCATTTATAGTTGTGAATTGAACTGATTTATTGCACAAACACGTTGAATTTTCTGTAGCAATTTGGTTAGGTTTTGGGGTTGGAGTTGCTAGCACCACGCCCCAACCCTCCCTCTTTATCCGGGTTTGGGACCGGCTAGAAAACTAGCGAGCTAGTAATCTAGGCGAGGTTCTGGTCTGGATTTCGCACAAAATCGAAGACTTACAAGCGAAAACCGACAAACCGGTCGAAGAAGCAGCAAAGACAGGACTCCAGGTGAACATAGACAAGACGGAGGTTATGAAAATAACCAACCAACCAACAACAACAACAACAGCAACATCCACCACCAATCACCATCAACGGGAGGGATTTGAAAGAGGTTACTTCATTCAATTATCTAGGGAGCATTGTCTCAACTACAGGGGGAACGGACGACTATGTCAAATCAAGAATCGGGAAGGCGAGAAACACATTCATCAACCTGAAACCAATCTGGAAATCTTCGTCACTCAACATCAACAACAAAATTCGGATTTTCAATACAAACGTCAAGTCAGTCAGTTCTTCTATACGGATCAGAAACTTGGCGAGTGACAAAGAATATTTCCAACAGCCTGTTGCAGACCTTTATCAACAACTGTCTTCGCTCTATACTGAAGATCAGATGACCGGAAAGAATCACCAACAAGAAACTATGGGAACAAACAAAACAAGAACCAATCGCCCAACAAATATGCAGGAGAAAGTGGAGATGGATTGGACACTCACTGATGAGGCCGCTGGGTAACATCTTGCGTCAGGCCAGTGCTCGAGTGAACCCGAAAGGGAAGCGGCAAGTGGGACGTCCAGGGGTGACATGGAGGAGATCGTGTGAAGAAGAGTTGAAACAGTATGGACTAACATGGATGCAAGTGAAAAGTACAGCAGAAGACAGAAGCAAGTGGAGGCGTGCAGATGAAGCCCTATGTTCCACTAGGAACCCAAGGGAACAATAATAATAGTAACAATTGCACAACACACAACATTTGAAGTTGGCAAACTTAATAAAAGCGCACATAAAAGTATGAAATGAAGTACAAAAAAACTATGATGAACGGAAATTCTTGGACGACAAAAATAATTACATGAAGAATAATGGAGATTTAATAGATCTGAAGGATTATAAAGAGTGAATGTGTAACAACAGAAGACAAGGGCCAGGCAACAGATCTTGTTTATTTAGGAAATCAACACATATTTATAGATTTTAATGTACATTATTATAGATTATTGTAAGCAAACAAACACAGTCTTCTGATTGGTGGTTTCTCGCTGAACGTTAATCTTTCATCTCTTTGTGGCCGTTTATTGAAGCTCAGATTATCTATCTGTGAATTGTATCCGCCTACGCAAAGTCTGTTGTGATTGGTTGTTGAATCAGTCTTTGTCCGTATTTTTCTCACGACCAATATTGGGGACGTAAACATTGACGTAAATTACTGTCTACCAATTTGCCTAGCGGCCAGCTCTCACCACAAATGCATCGGCATCATTGAGAACTGTTTTGAACCATATCGCCAACAGTCTCCACATATTAGTTCACAGTCTATTGAAGACTCCAGTCATTCATTCTACACCATCCTACCTGATATACCAAACACTTTTATGATGCACAGCGGTTAGGACTCTCACCGACCATGCACATGGTCCGAGGTTCGATCCCCTGCCGACGTACACCTGATATCAATGGTTAGCCTGCAAAATTTTGGCTACCGATATCACATGCTGAAAATTCCATACCTGTACCAAAAAAATACGGTGTGGAATCAAGCTACAATCAAAAAACAAAAAAATTCTACTCTCTCCAATAGAATAAAGAGTCATCTAAAGCACTCTTGATGCATTCAGACCAAAGTGTTTTAGATAATTCCTAATGTAGTAGTTAACATGATAAATGCCTAAAGTATAAACTAACTAACTCTTGAGTTGTTTTTATTATTATTTTTTTATCTCTTTTAGGTCAACTGGTTGCAACAGGATCTCATGATTCTTCTATCAAGGTAATAATTGTAGCGTATTAAAAGTCCTTTTTGTCTCATAAATGATAATTACTCTCTGTGTACTTTTAATATTCAAATGATACGTTTAACATTATATTACATTACTACAGGAAGATTGCCTTTAAGTAATGCATTGGTAAATAGTTTATTTTAGTTTCTACCCGATTAACTCTTTCTGTATTATGTAATCGATATCTAGAACTTACAATTCTAATGACACAACTTTGGAAACAATCCTTTTGTTACTAATATAATTTATATGCGACCGTACAGCTTGAAAACACAGAGAAGACGAAGATGATGACGATAACCAATCACTATCATCAACGGGAGAGATTTAACAGAGGTTGCCTCCTTCACTTATCTGGGAAGCATCATTTCAACTAGAGGCCGGCGGAACGGACGAAAATGTCAAAGGCAGAATCTGAAAGGCAAGATACGCCTTCATCAACCAACCTGAAACCAGTTTGGAAATCTTCCGCACTCAGCCAGCCAGCATAAGGAACAAGATTCGAATTTTCAACACAAATGTCAAGTCGGTTCTTCCAGACGGGTCAGAAAATTTCACGGCGTGTCACATAAAGGATTTCCAACAAACAGTTGCAGACTTTCATCAACAGCTGCCTTCGCTGGCTCCATAGTGAAGATCAAATGGCCAGCCAGAAAGAATAAGCAACAAGAAACTATGGGAGCAAACCAATCAAGAGCTGGTCGCTCAACAAATATGTAGGAGAAAGTGGAGATAGATCGGGTCGGGCATACATTGAGGAGGCCGCCGAATGATATCGCACTCCATGCTATTGCTTGAGGGGAATCCAAATGGGAAGCGACTAATGGGTCGTGTGTTCGAGGGTGACATGCAGGAGATCGTGTGAAGAAGAGATGAGAGAGTTTGGTCAATCGTGGACCCAGCTGAAGAGGACGTCAGAAAACTTAACGTAGTGGAGATGTGTTGTTGAAGTCCTATGTTCCACTCGGAAGGCAAGGGAATAATAATAATACAGCTTGAGAATGATATCTCTGAAAAGAGTAACTCTTCGCTGAACGCCTTTTTTTATATTACTCACCAGCTGTTTGCAAATTCCCCATTTGCTCTGAGTTATATAGAGCTATCATTTCACTGTTTAATTAGGCTTCAGTACTCTAAGAACACGACTTCGACTCTACTTTCTTTAAATTTGACAATTGATTTATGTTGTTTATGTACGCCTAAGCACTTGTCTGTCTGTTTTCGACATACAGCTTTGCACATATGTGCGGCAGTTCAAGTCGCCACACTCCATGTAGCACACAAAGCAAGAGAAGAAAGTAGGAGAAATGCATATTAGAGACAGTAAACAGATGTGTGAGACAAAGGAATAGTAATAACGAAGAACAAAACAGTTTCATTGGAAATCATAAGTCACAAGGAGTGGATGCATCTGCGCCAGCCATTGAGAACGATTTTGAGCCAAATCACAGATTGTTTCCAGCCACAGGTTTTTACCGTCCCGAGGACCCCAACCAGGAAGTCTACACCTCCCTACGTGGCTTAGACTAACTGTTGTGGATTTCATTGACTGGTGCCATGTTTTCGTTTGACCGCCGCTAGCTCTTTTCCAGCCTGAACCTATGCCAGCTAACATTGCCCATTGTCGAGGAAGGCGATGACTAGGCATACGTAACACATGTCCTAACCATGTCAGTCGATCTAGTTTCACAGCCTCGTCGATTGATTTCCCCTCCTTACCTAGCACTCGACCGATGCCTAACCTCAATATTGCTCACCTTATTATACCACTTCACATGGGAGATAGAACGCAGCTAAGCACTTGTAATTAGTTTAAAAAATGTTATCGTACAGTGTTACATTATTAGTATTAAGTACACAATATTAAGCGAAAATATTCATTTCGAAGAATTTATTATCAAGCTGTACAACCGTATATACATTTATATATATATTGTTTTCAAGAAATTATACCCCCTTGAAGAAATTTAAACAGAGGTGTGATCAGATAAAATAATAATAGTAGTAGTATGAAATGCAATTAAAATGTTTGTGATTAGAATCATAATTAAATATCAAGTGGCAAAACAAATAATATCATATGTAGAATAGTTCGTAGGATGTATAGATGTTGGAAGGGAGTGTAAAATTGGGACAAGGGAAATATACCTAAAACAATTAAGAGTGAGAATGATAATAGTAACAATAATAGTAATCGTAGTAATTAGGGAAAGGTGCATAGAATAACTAAATAAACAAAATACATAAATAAACGTCTATCCCTCTACGGCCAAGGCAGAAGTAGGGATTGTACATACTTCTTTTGTACACAAAGGTCTGGCTTAAAGTCATGAATCGCTAAGGCCTCCGCTGTCTTTAGAAGTCTGTAACGAAGAAAACGCGTCAAGTTAGCATGGATTCGATAGAGAGTATTAAAATCATGGTCAGGGTTGGTAGACTGACAGAAATCGATCAAGTGTTCTAGAATAGAGCTTCGTTCACCCTTCCTTCCTCCTTTGTAAAACTTTGCTGGAATATGTTCTCGTATCCGTTTGGAGAGCATTCTCCGGTCTCGGTCAATGTACCTTGTTCCCCAAGGGCAGGTGAACTGATAGATGCACATGGAGGCGGTTAGACGAGGGAGTTTATCTTTTACAGAGACGGAGAACAACTTACGGTTGGTGAAGGTCATTTGTAGTTTTGCAGCAAAGAACATTTTATTGACTGATTTGGCGAGACAATTTTTTTAGCATATTTGAAGCCTGATCACCTTTGAATTCCAAATTCATGAAGATGGTTTTATTCGGAACTGAGCAAGTGTCTAGTTTGGATTACCTGTGTTTCGTGTTTTTGTCAATAAATCGGTTCGGGTGACCGTTTGTGCGAGTGTGGTTTTTAGGAGGGAAATTTCTGAGTCGACGCAGTAAGAACTACAAATGTTTCTTATCCTAAAACAAAGCGGATGAATCAAGTTTCTTCTCTTGGAGATAGGCATCCAACTATGAAAATTAGTTAGTTGTCCATTCCACCTACCCTTCATTTTGATTATATTTTATGAAATCAAACTAATTAGGCTTGCAGTTATCGTAAAATGCTATATTGAACTTTGTCTCCAAATTTCTTCCGCACAGATTTTGGATGTTGAACGAATGCTTGCGAAAAGTGTTTCACCAAATGATCATATAGCTCAAGAGACACCTCAACAACAAATGGAAACTCATCCGGTTATTCGAACTCTTTACGATCATACAGCCGTAAGTTTCAAAGTGTTTTGCTAATTATTGAATATCTTCTTCTATTCCTTTCCGTTCCGAATGGAACATAAAACTTCAAGCTTGAGCTTTAAAGCTTCACTGGTGGTGGTGTTGCTTTCGGCTAGTAAACTAGGCCCGGGGTCGAACTGTGACCACGTGTGTGGTTGGCCAGCATTCCACCCTTGAACCACCGACACACTGGTTATCGAGTATAATCACTGGTATTTTTTGATTGATCGTTAGGTTGTAACAAATGTCACGGGTTGTGGTGCAGACTGAATTCTATCAATCCAGTTTGCAGTATGGTCACCGTGCTTAGTGACTTGCCATTTCAAGGTACAGTAAATTAATGTTAAAGGATTAGAGGCTGTCGGTAGGGAGTCCTGGAGTTAGGTTGCCATCTGAACTAACCCAAGGACTAGCCGTATGACATTAGTTATTATCTGTCTCATAGGGGACATAAGTTCCTTCAAGATTGCAGATACGCCTTGATGATGAGTGTCAACAAGCACGAAACCTAGGTCAAGCAAGGCTTCCTACCGATTGCCTCCAATCATCTAACGTAGTATTTTGAAGGCCATGTAGTTACTTTCTATGGAGAGTTTGAAAATGCTTATTTATTGTTTGAGATGACTTAATATCTGCTTCAGATTGTTGACTAGAAATAATGTTTCTATGTGCTGTATAACTGTCTTACTGTTTATGATCTATGTTGTCATAAATATCCACCATGTTATGTGTTTGAATTTTGATTGAGTTGATTAATTAAAGCGGGTTTGTAATTTAATAATTTCATTCATATTTTTATGATCTTCAACAGAAGCTTTAATGAAAATCAATTAAAGTAACATTTTAAGAGGAAATTTAATAAGAATAATGTAGCTTGGTATAGTCATGAAATTCATTTCAGGGTATTGCTTTTATACTTTTACATCCCTAGTGAAATATTGGGCTTTAAAGTTGCGTCGGTGGCATAGCGGTTAGGACGCTCGCCTACCATGCACATGGTTCGGGGTTCGATCCTCTGCTGACGCAATCCTTTACCTCGCTAAGCCAGAAATAATGCTGGTAAAGAGGAAAGGTTGGCCATGAGGCTTGCAACCCCATCCTGTAAAAAAATTCAACGCTGCTACAGAAACTTCAAGCCACTAGCTTGAAGTCCTATGTTCCATTGGGAACGTGAAGGAAAAAAACCCCTTAAAGTCTGACTAGTCATGGTGTTGGTTTTGTAGGATGGGGTTGCTAGCCTCACACCCAACCTTCTTTCTTTTCCATGCTTAATAACGGCTAGTAAACTAGGCAAGGATTAGTAGTGAGTGTGTTTGTAGAAATCGAACCCGGAGCTCCTGTGTGTCTGGCGTGTACACTCTGCCATCGATCCACTGACACGCTACTTGAAGATATAGATCACTCGCTTAAAGTCACTGTTTTCCATTCATACTTATTTCAATAGACGAGGCTGTAAAGTTACATCGATTGAGATGGTTAGGACATGTGTTATGTATGCATGCCTAGCCATCGCCTCCCTCGACAAAGGGTAATGTTAGCTGACATAGGATGGATCAGGTCGGAAAAGAGCCAGTGGTGGTCGAATCAAAACATGCGCATCAGTCAATGAAATCCGCAACAATTAGTTTAAGCGAGCCAGTCCTAGGGACTGACTGACTGGTTTCAACATAGAAGTTTCCACAGATGTGCAGCAGTTCGAGTCGCCACACTTCACTTAGCACACAAAGCAAAAGAAGAAAGTAAAAAGAAATGCAAAAATAGAGACAGTGAACAGAGATATGAGGCAAAAAGAATAGTAATATCGAAGAACAATATAGTTTTATTGGGTATTATAAGTCACAAGGAGTGGATGCATCTGCGCCAACCATTGACAACGATTTTGAGCCATATCACCAATTGTTTTCAGCCATTGGTGTTTACCGTCCCGAGGACTTCGACCGGTCAGGAAGTCTACATCTTTCTACGTGGCCTAAACTAACTGTTGTGGATTTCATTGACTGGACAGCTGTCCAGTACTCCCTGGTTCTCTAACTGATAACAGTCCGTGATCAACTCGTAAAAACAAATCTAATCCTTATAAACCAACTACTGAAAATATATCTAGTGTTTTTAGGAATATCATTTTGTTGTATTCATCTGTATAAAACTGTTGTGGAGCTATGGTTCATTGGTGTAGACACTCGACTTGCAACCAGTGGGTCATGAGTTCGAGCCGTGATCCACGTACTGGGGTTTTGGCGGTCCTAGGCAGTACTCACACACAATAGGTATGTCTCATTGCCCCCAATTACGTGGAACTCCAAGTGATTGTTAAGTCACATTGAGAAGGAATTTAAAACTGTCTGTCTGAAAGTAGCGGTTAAACAGAAAGATAACTGACTGAGTGGCACTGAAGAGGTAGTCACTCGTTTTATATACACTTACTCGTATTAAATTACTATGCTGAGTTAGAATCATTGTTATCCGTTTAAATCATCACTATTATGACGGAGTGTTAATCAGTGGGTTATGGGTTCGTTTAACCTGACTAGAATGAACCTCTAGAACAAGACACTATAACCAAATGATCTTAAAACAAGCAACAAAGGTTAATTATAGCTGAATACTCTACATACACGGATATATATAAAGATACTTTTGAAATTACATTGGGAGATGTAAGACTGATAAGCAAATAAACTACATTGAATTAATCATGCAGAAAGACAGGTGCGAATGTTTTCCAAGTCATGTTCAAATAGATAAGGGGAGAGGGGGTATGAGAGATTAAAATTAAGATAAAATGAATTACGCTTCAATTACATCATTTATATATATATCCGTATGTGTAGAGTATTCAGATGACGAGTTCTACCGGAATTTGATGAATTCATTAAATCCAATTTAACTGCTCCTGTGAAGCCAATTACATAGGCCGTACAATTATGCGTGTTTCTCGTCGAATTTCCGAACATCACCCTGCACAGTGGTTAAGCAAAGGACAAACAAAATCTATTCTCAGCGCTATTCTGTCTCATCTTGTGGATACAGAACACAAGATTGACGTTAACCATGCTTTCAGGGTCATTTACCACATACCAACGAATCTCAATTTCGCCTTAAGAGTTCGACTACTAAACATTGCTGAGGCTGTTGGGATCCATATTAAGAAGCCTAATTTATGCATCCAAAAGAAGTTAGTTCAGACATTATCATTACCTTGGCCATCTAGGTTTGAATGATCATGAATTTTTGTGGAATTTTCCTAATTTTAGTTGATATTCTATTCGCTACTATATCTTTATTATTATAATAATATTAGCATCTTTAATGAACTGTAATTGCATTGATCATATGTTACAAATCGATATTATTTAAAAAACACTAATATTGTTATTGACTACTAATCTAGAATATTCTATGTATATAAACATATATATAATTGTAGAGCCAGAAGAGGAATTTATCGAAAAGAATATTCTTTGCTCAATTATTTTGTGTTTTATAGATGTCTGAATGAATATTTTTGCTATATTGAAATCCTGTTTTATTAACCTTTGTTGCTTGTTTTAAATTCGTATCGGGAAATAAATGTTTTCAACCAAATGATCATTTGATACTTCTATCCCTCACACTGAGATAGACAGAGAAAAACGATCACCGGAATGACAACAACAACAATAACAACAACAGCAGAAACATCGACCGCAACCACTTTTATTAGACAAGAATACATGGTATATTACATTTAAAAACCCCCTTCAGAAATTTAAGCCATTAATAAACGAATCAAAATTGTCCAGTCAGACTATCATGTCAGTACATGCGTACATCATAACTGCATGGCTAACAAAGAAGCTTGTCCGTCCTAACTCTTCCTAATTTTTAGTTCTCAACTTTTAGGGACTACTCGGAAATACTTTGTAGGTCTGTGTACTTTCCACTTATGATAGTGACAAACTTGACTGATATAGGTAGGTGTAGGTAGCTCTTTGTTTTCACTTCATTTTTGATGCATGGGTTGTAAAACTGCAAAAAATTCTTCTAATCTTTCCTCAGTTTTTTTTAAAAATCTGAAAGGTAACTTAGTGTTCTCTGTCCTTTGAAATATATATTCTTTGATAAATTAAGCCAAGGTGTTTTCAATGACAGTACCATTTTTGATTGCACACTAGTCAGTAACTAGTGTAATGCGTCTAGTCCTATCTTCGCTGCAGACTGAATTCTATCAGTCAAGCTTGCAATGTGGCCACCATGCTAGGTGGCTCGCCATTACGGTGCACTGTGAATTGTTGGTATTAGATGGTTGGAGGCAATCTGCCACAGGAAGCCTTGCTTGACCTAGGTTTCGTGCTAGTTGGCACTCACTAGTCAGCAAGGCGTATCTGCAACCTTGAAGGAACTCATGTCCCTTCTGCAATCAAAAATATCCAATACAGTCCTACAGGAGGTCAATCGCGAGCCTGAATAGCTCAGTGGTAACGTCTCTGACTGCAGCATTGGGTGACGCGGGTTCGAGTCTCAGAAGGGACATGAGTTCCTTCAAGGTTGCAGATACGCCTTGCTGACTGATGAGTGCCAACTAGGTGAAGCAAGGCTTCCTGTGGCCGATTGCCTCCAACCATCTAATACCAACAGTACCATTTGCCAATGTTTACTTAGTCACAAGGTATATTCAATAGTTTTTTAATGAATGAGATGAGATAATAGTTTATAATTTTACACAGGGATACTTCATATTATCTGGGTGTGTTCATGCTGGAAGAACAATGAAAGGAAGATGAATTTACAGCATGTGAAATGGAGTGAATAATGGCAATCAAATTTTGCTAAAGTTATTAATAATATAAAAGTAGTAAATACGTGAATGAGAGAAAAAGATTGAACTAAGTGTATAAAAATATCTAAGTGATAAACATTTCTTTATTATTCATAACAAGATTAGAGGATAGATAAAATGGCTGGACTGGTGTAATTAATTCCATGTCAATTTGAGCCAGCATATTCCCTTC